AATGGAGGAATAACCCTAAGATTGGAGGAAGCCTGAAATCTGAATGATGAGATAGTAACCCAGAGTGGTGTGATGCCCTATCATTTCCTACATAGGGTAATTATCCATCAGCACATGAGGTGGAGATTGCTGGTTTGGGTTTAAGGTGTACACTTATGTATACAGAGTGTGGTGATACACATTTTTTGGAGTGACAATTTTTAGTTTCACTTATTTTTGCAGCTGACACTTTATGTGAGTGTCCTTCATTGATATATTTTTTGCATGTATATAGATACTCACTTATATAGAGCATACACGTGTATAAAGTTTTTGCATGTTGCACAGAGAGTGGCACGTGTGTTTTATTATTTAAAAGGTATGACACTATGTTGAGCTTTTTTCTTTCGAGGTTTATTGTCATCAGGATTTGCAAGTTTGAAGAAGAAAGAATTTAATGGTTTACATGTGTGGAGATTTATTTCGATAATTGAGACATTTTGGACACTATTTTGATATTTTGGACACTTTTTGTATGGTGGGATAGGTGGATATATTTATTATTTGGGCAAAAGAAAAGTTTTATAATTTTTGTTTGCTTGGCCTTCAAGGGTGGAGGTGGATAACTTTTCTGGGATATTGTATTGGGATTGTTTTGCTGTGTATTTTTATATAAAGATTCTGGGAGACCCACCATCCGTAAATTGTTCCTGTGTGACTGGTTTCCTAAGTCATCTAGCTTTTCCAGGATGACCTGTTGTTCACGTTTGGCTTGTGTAGCACTCGATTGCATAGCTTGGCATTCATCCTCTAAGTCGGAGAGGCGGTGTTCAACTTCGGTAATGCGTTTTGCGTTTTCTCCCAAATCTTTTCTAAGCTGTTCTATTCCCAGGGTCACTGCTCTGTCTACTGCTTGTGTAATGTTTGGTAGCAACAGAGAAGCAACAGCCTGTGCGATTTGTTCATATTGGTCTGTGGGACTACTGTGCTCAGCATGTCTTGCCAAAAGAGTGTGAGGCGGCTGTGCCTCTCTCCTACCATATCCTGACCCTGGGTCCGGGTCTGGCCCTCGCTCTGTCTCCATGCTTGCTGCCTGGGTAGAGGGGTTATGGCTGCTTCGTTGTGCAGCTGGCTCTGGTGTGGATGCACTGCTTTCTGCAGCGTTATCAGCGGCGGCCATCTTGGCTGCACGAATGGGAGACCTGTCCCTCTGTGTGCAGGGAGCGGGATCCTGGCCGGACTCCGCTGGCCGCAGATAACGCTCCATATACGGTTAGGAGTGGGGGAGGCAGGGAGGGGCACCCCCGTGCCGTTTATCTCTGTCCTTCGGTGCAGGAGGCTGTATTTATAGGCCTTATATTCTGGAGCCGCGGGACGTCTTCCCTACCCCATGCGGTGCCGGAACCGGAAGTAGTATATTTGCACATTTAAAGAGGATGTGTTGTACATTTGCGATCCTGTAATAGTGAGTGGCTCGCAAGTTACATCTTTGTTTTTAAGCAAAGCTGATATTGTCACTGGCACCTGTGTATTGCCCTGGATGTAGGAGACATGCTCACAGGCTTACAGATGGCAGAGAGCTGTGATGTACTCGTTCTTGAGCCGAGACTGGAGGGTGTGTATAACTGGGGGATTGTGGAACATCACATCTATGCTTACTATTCTTTGGTCCTAAGCTATACCCATAGACTAGCAGTTTTAGGAGAGCTGAGACAAGCTAAGGGTACATTTTTCTGAGGTACAATCAGGACTGCTGATCATGGGGCCCCTGATCATGGGGCCCCATACAGACTACCTGACAGGGCCCATCCTTCTAGAAAATAGCAACGGGATATTTCACTTAAAATATACTAAGATCATTATTAGTGGACACAAACACAACACCACAAAATTCCTGCTAAATCTAAAATATAAAGCTCTGTGTGTGGAGGAGGTCTTGGGGCTCATTCATATTGGTGCTGTGGCTTGCACAGTGTGAATCAGCAGTTTCTTCATGTGGCTGGAGCCACCTGGAGCTGTGCACAGCAGCCTATGTTACACTATAGGAATGCATCAACTGAACGAACACAGCTGTGTTTTTACAGCCTCTGTGTCCCCAAACAGCTCCCACCTCATGAACAAATCACTCGGTCATAATGCCAGAGTACCTGTGTGAACTTAATTTTGTTTACAATTTCATTTTTATTAACAATTGTTTTTACAACCCTGGCATGGAGGGGGGTGTTGTTGAAGCATCAGGGGTCTAAACAGACCCCCCATGTCTTACTTTTGGAACAGAGAAAAAGATTGAGGACATAGATCACCAATCATTTCTCTGCAGTCTCATCTGCAGTGCAGATGAATGAACAGGAGGTGTACTATACAGAGGCTCCTGTTCATTCACAAACTGAGGCCTAGTAAACACAGTTAACTATGCTTCAGTTACCAATGAACACGGTGAATAAATGAACTGCAAGTCCCGACAGCTTTAGCAGCTGTGGGCTTGTAGTTTTCAGTGAACTACCATGGGGTAGTTCATTGAAGCTTCCTGCTTCAAGATTATCTGCTTGCTCGTACATTCCGTACAGCAAGCAGATATTCTGACAGGTCTGCAGGAGACAAGCATGGCATCAGAGATCTACTTATCACTGGTGCAATGCTTTCAAGGATCCAGCAGACAAAAATAATAAATGCACTTCTTTTTTTTTTTACCTGCAAAAAAATGTACATTTATTTTTTTTGTCTAAAAGGTGAACTTATCCTTTAATCATCTTAATATTTTGAGGGAATAGGTGCTGCTTGATGTTTCCAATGTCTAGTGATCATTGCTCTGGCAGCACGTAGTGTGTGAGAGATAACTAAATCTTTATATAATTCACCCGTGCTCGGATAACAGTATGTGTATTAATGAGTCAAAAGTAGTGAATAAATAATGTATAGGAAACAGTGAGTAATGAATAGATGGTGTAAATAAAACCTTACAGTGTGGCTGCTGCTACAAAGGTTATACACCAGGGGTATTGAATTAAAATTCAAAGAGACTAAAATTTTCTTCTGGCCGAGATCCGAATAGGGTGTGCCCATAATGTGCCCCCTTACATTACGTGTCGCCATCAAAATGCAACTTTACATCATGTATTCCCATCACATCAGGTGTGCCCATCAGAGTGCTCCTTTACATCAGTTGTCCCCATCAGAGTGCCTCTTTACATCAGGTATCCCCATCGCATTGCCAAATTACATCAGGTGTTCCCGTCAGAGTTCCCCCTTACACTCAAACTACCCCTTTCTATCTTATTTCCCCATCAGAGTGCCCCTTTACATCATATTCCGCACCAGAGTGCCCCTTTCCATCACATGTGCCCATCAGAGTGCCCCTTTCCACAGTATGTGCCCTTTTGTTCCCCCTTAACATAAAAGGTGCCCATCAGAGTGCCCATTAACATAAAATGTGCTCATCAGAGTGCCCCTGAACATAAAATAAGAGGCATGCTGATGGGCACATTTTATGTTAAGGGACACTCTGATGAGCACATTTATATTAAGAGGCACTCTGATGGATACATTTTATGTTAAAGCGGAGTTCCACCCAAAAGGGGAAGTTACGCTTTAAAGATTGGTCCCCCGCTCCCCATTAAGGATTGGCACCTTTAGAGAGTGGGGGGGAGCGAGTACCCAAATTTGACAGGTAACCGCTCCCACTTCTGCTGCAATCGCCTAGGCAATCGGAAGCGGAAGCTGTCTTCCTACCCTCCCTCCCCGTAGTCTTCTGGGACACGTGACAGGTCCCAGAAGACTACAGGGCCATTTAGGAAGCGCAGCGCCACTCACGCAGCTGTGAAGCCGCAAGCTGTCACAGTCGGGTGCCTACACTGAAGATGCCGGCTCCTGGAACACAGGATGGCCAGTGAGACAGGCTGCGGGGAGGAGTGGCTGTTTTTTTAAAAGTCAGCTGCCACAGTTTTTGTAGTTGCTGAGTTTTATTTTTTTACAGTGTGAGTGGAACTCCGCTTTAAGGGGCACACTGATGGGCACATTCTATGTTGTGCCCATCAGAGTGCACCTTAACATAAAATAAGGGGCATGCTGATGGGCACATTCTATGTTGTGCCCATCAGAGTGCCCTAAACATTCAATGTGCCCATTAGGGTGCCCCTGTAAGACTACACCCTACCTTGAGGGCAGACAGGAGCTTGCTGGAATCCTTGCTGAACGCTTGTGTACAGGCAGGAAGTGGGAGCCGAAGAGACAGTGAGCTGACAGGGGCGCCCCGCACACATGAAGTCATGTTGCCATGACGACCGCCCTGCTCAGTGGCTGATCTGTCATTGCGGGCTGGGCGGCAGCACTGCTGGGGCCGTTTCCAGACCGAAGTCCACCATTTAGTGGCTGCTGTTATATACCTTCAATGAATATTACACAGACTTATAGCACTGCCCTCTGTTGGTATCTGTTAAACATTCCACATGACACAGGTTACAGAGATACACTATATTGCCAAAAGTATTGGGACGCCTGCTTTTACACGCATATGAACTTTAGTGGAATCTCAGCCTTAGTCCGTAGGATTCAATATTGAGTTGGCCCATTCTTTGCAGCTATAACAGCTTCAACTCTTCTGGGAAGGCTGTCCACAAGGTTTAGGAGTATGTCTTTGGGCATATTTGACCATTCTTCCAGAAGCACATTTGTGAGGTCAGGTACTGATGTCGGACGAGAAGGTATGGTTCGCAGTGTCCACTTCAATTCATCCCAAAGATGTTCTATCAGGTTGAGGTGAGGACTCTCTGCAGGCCAGTCAAGTTCCTAAACCTTTAACTCACTTATCCATGTCTTTATGGACCTTGCTTTGTGCACTGGTGCGCAGTCATGTTGGAACAGGAAGGGGCCATGCCCAAACCTTTCCCACAAAATTGGGAGCATGACATTGTCCAAAATGTCTTGGTATACTGATGCCTTAAGAGTTCCCTTCACTAGAACTAAGGGGCCAAGCCCAACCCCTAAAAAACAGCCCCACACCATAGTCCCTCCTCCACCAAACTTTATACTTGGCACAATGCAGTCAGCCAAATACCCTCTTCCTGGCAGCCACCAAACCCACACACGTCCGTCTGATTGCCAGACAGAGAAGCATGATTTGTCACTTTAGAGAACACGTCTCCACTGCTCTAGAGTCCAGTGACAGCGTGCTTTACACCACTGCATCTGACACTTTGCATTGCACTTGGTGATGTAAGGCTTGGATGCAGCTGCTCAGCCATGGAAACCCACTCCATGAAGCTCTCTAAGCACTATTGTGTTAATCTGAAGGCCACACGAAGTTTGGAGGTCTTTAGCTATTGACCCTGCAGACAGTTGGCGACGTCTGTACAATGTGCACTCCAGCATGCTCTGATCCCACTCTTTCATTTTACGTGGCCTACTACTTCGTGGCCGAGTTGCTTCCACTTTGTTATGGATACCATTAACAGTTGACCGTGGAATATTTAGTAGCAAGGAAATTTCACAGATGAATTTATTGCACAGGTGGCAACTTATCACAGTGCCATGCTTGAATTCACTGAGCTCCTGTGAGCAACCCATTCTTTCACAAATGTTTGTAGAAGCAGTCTGCATGCCAAGGTGCTTGATTTTACATACCTGTGGTCATGGAGGTGATTGGAACACCTGGATCCAATGATCTGGAGGGTGTTCCAATACTTTTGACAATATAGTGTATATGTGATTAGATACAATCTCCACTCTAACCATGTAAATAAATTGAATTATGCTCAAACATGCTCAGTGTCCAAAACCGTCTCTTCTGGACTGTAATAAATATCAAAATCAGTGCAGTTCAGATTTCAGAGTAGAGGCTGACATCACAGTGTGGTGCTCCTTTCCTTTGCTCCCCCACTCAATTGTTGTTGATTCTACTGCAAAGCAATGAGAGTCAATATGCACTTTAGTTGCTAAGTATTCTATGGTTGTGGGCTAATCTTCTTAGTTATCCATCACTTCTCTACTCCAGTGTTATGCTCAGCAGTGGTATGCAGGAATGATTGCAAAACAAAACCATATAGCGTAATTCCGTTTTTATCCACTTGCCCTCTGGAAGATTTACCCCCAGAGTGGATAAGTGGATAATTAAATAATGAAAAATTCTAAAATTACACTCACAATGTAGGTAATAAAATTAAGCTGAAATGCTGGACTGGAAATGCCTCCATGACATGCTTTGCAACTGCCGGATGTGATGTCACCGGAAATCCCCACCAACGTGTTTCACCCCTTCCACGGGGCGTCTTCAGAAGCTGGGGCTACCGGTGATTGGTCCTTTTTTTAAATGACTCGCCACACCTACTCCATCCACGGAACCTCCCATTACTCACTCAACTATACATCATTTACACTTCCTTTTAGCAGCCATATTAGAGCTTCTTTATGGTGTATGTAGCTTCATACAGAAGGAATTACTGCCATCTTACTACACCCCTGAATTACAGAAATGCTAAATTATTAATACTAATACCGCCATCTTACTACATCCCTGGATATGGACATGCAAGTGTCATTAAATACTGATACTAACAAACCACCTATATATGATCCTAAACTAAGATTGCCAGCTGAAAACAAGTACCTATATTCTTTAAAAAAAACAACTTTTTTTCCCAATGGCGCCATTTACATTTTTCATTTAACAAAATGCTTTCACCTCTGTAAAAATATTATTATATTTTTGTATTACTCTTGTCAATCTACAATATTACATTGTAATAGAACAGAACTATGATGAGTAAATAATATGCAAATCTTTTGAATTCATATTCCTGTTCTAATATATCTATTGGTGCCCCCTACAGGTAGATGACTAAAAATAATGTAGAATATTATATTATTTTAAAATCACGTAGATCACATAAATGATACCCAATATAATATATTTTATGTCCCTTATTTCAAGCATTACAAAAATCACTAATAAATAATTAAAAGCTTGAAAAAAGCCATACTATAATCTTCCTTACTTTTTGGTTTTGCTTTCAAAAGCTCCTCTCTATGGGTATGATTGACTTGTTTTTTTTTTTATTTTTAATAAGTCTTGTCTTGTGTAGCCCTTTTCCACAAAACTATTAACTATTTCATCTGATTTCTTGTTCTCAGTTACAGTTTCTTCTGATGCACGTTATCTGACCTGTTGGTATGCCCCCAACCACTTAGGGTGGTGGTTACTGTATCCATACCAATCTGTTTCTTTGAAATGGCTGCATGTAAACAGCCTTTTCTCCCTGAACAAAAATCTCTAGATCTAGATAACTCACTTTTTCGCTATTGTAGTTGGCTGAGAAAGAGATATTTATTAACATTTATATCTCTTAGAAACTCTTTAAGTGTTGTTTCTGACCCCTCCCACACTAGGAACATCAATGTACCTTTTTTATAGCTTCAACTCTGTTCTTGTTTTCCCATATACTTCCTCTGCCTCCCATTTGCTCATAAAAATATTTACTACTGCAGGGGCATATATAGCCTTCATTGCAACCCCTTTTTGCTGTCTATCAAATCGTTTGCCATGCCAAGTGAAATAATTTCCTCCTATCACCAATTCCAATATTTGTAACATAAACTAATTTTGTTTGGGTTTTTAAAGTAGTTTCCTTCTTCAAGCCCTCTCCACTGCTTCTAGGACATTTTGTTTGCCTAATGTTAGTGTATAAAAAGTTGACATACTGTATATGCCTGCTAATGTACAATGCCTATTTACTTGTGTAGTTTCTAACAAGTTGATAAGATCCGTACTGTCCTTTATATAAGATGGATAGTTTTGTGCTAATGGTTGGAGGAAATGGCCTAAATACTTTCCAACTCTAGAAAAAAGGGAGTCAACTCCATTATTGATAGGTCTACCTGGAGGTTTGTTGGCATCTTTATGAATATTCTGAACCTGGTATATAATGGGTGTTCTAGAAGCCTCAGGTAATAAATACTTAGCTTACCTTTTGTTTAATATTCCTTCTTTCTGAGCTTTTTTTAAATCAATTTAGCTTTTAATTTATTTACAGGGTTTAAATTTTCATATGTGTCCTGATCTGATATGAGTCTGTTTAATTCTTTCAGATAGTCTTCTTTATTGAGGATAACAACTCCTCCCCCCTTGAATTATGAAATTCTTCTTCTTCTTCAATACTTTTTCATTTGTTACCTTTAATATAATTGTCTATTCCTCTGAATTCCTCTAAAACAACTGCTTTAAATAATTTTTTACCCCCATTGGAGGTTCAATATCTTAGGGACAACTTTGATTTTCAGTGGGCCCCTCGCTCCCTCCCCTATTTGGGGATCCATCTCACAAGCTCTATTTCAACGCTATATCGTGCTAACTATCCCCGTCTTAAGACTGATTTACATAATTTGGCAGACCTCCCTTTATCCTGGTTTGGTAGAATCAATTCCATTAAAATGATGTTTCTGCCACAACTGCTATATTATTTTCGGACTCTACCAATTGCAGTCCCCAGAGGAGAAATCTTATGCTTACAATCTGATGTCTGTAGATTTATATGGGGAGGCAAACGTCGAGTCAATAATTCAACTTCATATTCTCAGAAAAAGCATGGTGGTTTGGGACTTCCTAATCTTATGACTTATTTTCATGCGACTCAGATAATGCAGCTCTCCTACGCTACAGCCAGGGGCTCTATACCTCAATGGGTTGGCATGGAGCCCCTATCTTGTCATCCATATGTTATTAACTCCCTAATGTGGCTTCCCAGTCGGTTGCGTCCTCCCATCCTCTGCCCTACGTTATCATATTCTTTAGTGATCTAGGATAGGTGGCGGGCCCGTAAGCTTTTATTTTCCCTACATACCACTCTGGTCCCAGTCTTTTGTAACCCTGAATTCACACCTGTTTAACACCATCTGTGTTTCAATGGTGGATCAGTAAGGGCTTTTTACATATTGGGGATTATTTGGAAGGACTTCGTCCATATTCTTTCCAATATTTCCATACAAAGTGCCAACTGCCTTCTAGCGAATCGTTTCACTATAATCAGATTATGTATTTTATCACTAGCAAGTTTAAATTACTGACGGAACCCTGTATTCTCACCCTTCTCAAAGTAACCTGTAGGGCTGCTGGAATGGTGAGAGGTCGTCTATCCAATATATATATGCTTCCCTTATTGATCCAAATGTTAAATGTTGCAATGGGAAAAGGATTTAAATGTTTCTCTGGAGTTAGATGCTTGGTGGAATATGGTTAATGCTTTATCTAAAATCTTAACACTGCACTCATTGAATCTAACTACAAAACGCTTCTCCGTTGGTATTTAGTCCCTACAACTTTTGCTAAAATGTACCCATCCGTGTCACCCATTCATTTTTGACATTGTGGACAGGAGGGTACTATGCTCCACATATGGTGGAAATGCCCTGTGGTGACTAGGTTTTGGATCCGTTTATTTAATTTCCTTTACTCGGTAATGGGAGTTAACATTCGTAGTTCCCCTGAAGTGGCCCTATTTCAACTATTACCCACTGATGTTCCCAAGAAATCAGTTAAATTGATTATTTATATCCTGTTGGCGGCGAGAGTTACGATAGCCGCACACTGGAAATGGTCAGCAATATCGCTGGACCTAGTCAGCCATTCGGCATTGACACCAGATGTGATACATAGAGCTCATCTGGCCACAACGCAGGAAGCACATCGGTGAGGCAGATAGATGCATCCTCACAGTCCGAGTTGGGACCAAGTACCATTGTAATAACGTTTTCTAGTTTGCTTCAGTTAGAGTAGTGTTGATGGAAACTTTAGATAATGCCAGGGCAATATCTTGCCAATCAGGTCATAAGTGACATTCAGGTCCTGTTCCCATTGATCCATATAGGGAAATTTGCAATTCGGATCAGTAAGGAGAGCATACACTGTAGAGACATGGCTTCTTGGGAAATCTCTATTGTGGTAGGAAAGTTCAAAATTTGTAAGTATGGGTGATTCACCCAATATAACGATCTTCAAGTGGATAAAAGAGACAATTTGATTATATCTATATATTTCGGTTGAGGGCATGTGCAATTTAACTGTAAAGTATTGCAAAATGTGAGTTCGATCACCCTTAAGGTAGTCTCAATATAATATAAGTGCCGAATTATGAATTTGATATAATAATATTTATCATGACTCAACGCTTTTGAGAGTGGGTCCATCGTGTAAATCAGTGAGCAATATAATACCTTTACAATTCCACTGTTGAAGAGAGAGACCTGGCACTACCAGTTCTATAATAGAGATCAGAACAGGTAGTGAGAAGACCTGAATAAGACCATGGGAGGTGGAAAAGCAAGTTCTCCAAGATATAAGGGAGGATTGGATTGTAGGTGGAAAAAATGTCATTGTTAGTGGTTTCCAAAGATCCATAATCAAGCAATGATAGAGGTTTCCTCCATGGACTGATGCTTGTTCAACGTCGAGGCACATTATATCTGGAGTTAGGCAGAATCAATGTTTACTTTGTATCAGTCCGTCTGAATCAAATTAATCTCGAAAATCAGTGGACCCAGCACCTCTAGCCTTGTTGTGTTTAATAAAATAGGAGAGAGCCATCCTGGCTTTCTTATGATTCCATAAAAAGCTT